GATTCAGCTAAATTCAGGATAGTTTAGAATGCGGTTTATTCAATGACAGCTTAACTTTGTTTAAAATAACTGACCCATAAAATCTTACTTGATAAAAAAAGGTAATGAAAGTTCTGTACAAAACTTACTTGAGGAGACTCCCTACCTTGTAGACCTGAGAGTCAGGTTCATTGTAGCGACAAGCATTGTCAAACATCAGTTGAAAATCTGAGAGGAAGTCATCCAGAGTATGATATTGTTCTCCATAAAGTTTGGAGTTGATCTTGGCCATATCTATTGGCTTTTTGATCAGTGTGTAATAGTCTGGATATTCCTGTCACAAATGAAACCAAAGCAGACTGGAATGAAACTTGAGACTATACTATGAACTCATTCTTAAAAACCAATCACAGCCATGACTACTATATATTCCAAAATCTTGAAAATATTAAAAAATTGCAAAGTCATTAGGGTTATTTGGTAACACTTAGTCTAGTGCTTTCATCAGTACCAATATGCATACATATAAATGTCTCACCATTCCAAAAGTTAACTCCTGTTCTTTGGTTTTGGAAGGATGGGTGAAATACCAATAGTTATACTGCACAGGAACTTTTTCAAATTTACATATGTAGCTTGAAAATCTTGTAGGTTTTTATTTTATAGGTTATCATTGCTCAGCAATGCATGAACAGTATTCACAAAGGTTAGTTCCCACCACAAATTGCAGTCATCCTGAACTGCAAAAAATTGTTCCTAGCTCATTACATGGAATATTGCTACTTAAGAGATAAAAACCCACAACATGTTTAAGCTGCAAAGTAAGGGTGCCTTGAATCAAGAACTTTAACAACCACTTGTCATGAGTTCTCATAGATTCACTGGTTGCTGTTAATGATTTTGAATATACAACAAGAAATACAAGAAACTGTACTTACTGTTCTTGATGGCAGCTTTTGAAAGATGAGACAAAGTTGACTTCCATGCCTGTCCTGAAATTAGTAAAGAAACAAAGGTATGAGCCTTTACCATTGTTGTTCAAAAAGTTCTGTCACGAGTCTCAGGTATGAACCCCATGAAATTTAATATTAAATTTTGCCAGTATGCATGCCAGTGAGTCCCTGGCCAAAAACCCTCCATCCATCTTCCAATCCAGTACTAAAAAACAGCACTCCTTTTCAACTTCAGCTTTCCTCAGAAAATGCAGACACGGTAATACTGTTGACAAGCCCCCTCTCCCTGCCTCAGAGTCCTTGGTCCCAGTCACTCACTGTTAGAATGTGATTTTTAACATAAGCAACTAGTGGAAGGTGACTGTTTCAACAAGCCTCTGTGTTACTGTAACCTTCCTGATCGGCTAAACCTGCTACAGTTTCATAAAAATAAATACGCTTTGAAGAAAATTACTTCACACTGCTGAGTGAGTTTTGAATATACTGATTATCTGAAGGAGGCTAATCCATCTTGAGCTTTTTTATCTAGATGTAAAAAGCTTTAGGAGCGTAGAAATGGAAACTTCTGTGCGAGAACAGGTATATGTCTTGTACTGATATTATCATATAAACATATAAAACTTGCCGACAAACACAGCGCAATCAACTATCTAAAAGTAACATTCAGAGTTGTCCCATGAAAACTGATCAATAGAGCAAACTCGTATAACCTGTCCATTACATGCTTACAAACAATTTGTTACAGGCAAATGAGAGGAACAATTAAGAACAGTTGTAGACATTTACACACACTAAATGCTGATGAGAAAAACAATTAAGAACAGTTAACTGTGAACTCTTGAATCACTTGCATGTGTCCAAACAGGTCACAACTCACAAAAACATTTGACACACATTGGAATGTACAGGACTGTTCAAACAACTTGTTTTTTTAGCCAAAAATTAGCCAAGAACATTATGTGGATCCAAAAGGTCAATGTGCACACATATGTGTAGTGCTTTTGAATATATACTTGCCTTTTAGCTGATTTTTGTGACTTTACAGTCATTACCACTCAACAAAAATCATTACCCTTTGTAGCATATTGGCTGGTTGAATAAAGGTTCACATCTGTTCTTAATTGTTCTTTTCATTTGCCTACAATGAACACTTTGTTAGCATGTAATGAATGGGTTACACAAATTTGCTCTCATGCACTCAGTTAGCTCTTCATTATAAGAAAATTGATATAAGTCTTAAATGTCTTACAGTGCAATCTTTAACAGCACTAAACAACTCCCGACACAGTTCCTTTAATTCATTGGTAGCAGAAGGCACCTGACTGTACTTTTTGGCTGCACCAGGTGAGGATCTGTTAGTAGTAATAACATATAAAGAATTTTTCAGAAAAAAACCATGACTGTTTTTTATGTTCAACTTGGTATTTTGAAATGAAAAATCATTTTCCTTGCCAATAGTAATCTATCCCTTTTGTTAAGGTAGCCACAACAAGTAAAAACTCTTAAATTGTATATTTGCACCTGTCATGCAGATAATCCCCTTATCTTGGAGGAAACAAAGGAGGATCAAGTTACTATTTCAACTTGAACTGAAATAAACTTAAGTTTTGTCTTGTAAAGATCTGACAATTATTTCATAAGAATAAAGGCTGATAGTTTTTAAAAAAACTGTTTGGCGCTGCGTCGGTGGGGGTAATGAAATAATTTGAATATATCAACAAAGTTGAAATGGTAAATTGGCCACCGTTACGATAAAAGCTGATGAGTCGAGCGTTAGCCCTTCGTCGGAGCGAATAGAGGAATCGTGGGTTGTGTGTGCTTTTAAAGGCAGAAAATGAAGCTATGTGATTAGTGGGAACATGGCAACGAGAAAAACACAAATAAATTAGTGGAATGAAAAGCATTCGTTGATACCTGTGGGATTTAGACTGCCAGTTTGAAAGATGAAAGATGAATGAATCATTCTAAGCAACATATGGCAATCTGCGGTCTTTCCTTACACTTAGGTAGCATGGAAAGCCGCAAAACTCTTGAACAAAGGCTCATCTTTCAAACCGGCAGTCTAAATCCCACAGGTATCAACAAATTTATTTGTGCTTTTCTCGTTGCCATGTTTCCACCAATCACGTAGCTCCATTTTCTGCCTTTAAAAGCATACACAACCCACAATTCCTCTATTCGCTCCGACGAAGGGCTAATGCTCGAAATGTCAGCTTTTACAACCATAAGGGTGGCCAATTTACCATTTCAACTTTGTTGATATATTCAAAATATTTCATAAGACATAAATACAGATAGGTTGTATGCTCTAACACTGGAGACCAATAATCCATCTTGCATTTGTGTTAAGAAGAGGTGGAAGTCAATGGAGTATGTAAAGGCCCACAGGTGAAAAAAAGAAAGCAGGCAGGCTGGAAACCATAGAAAAAGGTGGAAACTGTAGAAGTTGAAGTTTACATCCACCACTTTAACTTAATTAATAAAAATATAGGCTATTGATTAATAAGCTTCTCAGAAAAGATTAATTACTTGACTTACGATATTCTCCCAGACTTGGTGGGTGTTGCCTGCTTAACTGGTGTTGCATGAGATGTCCCAGCAGGCACTTCAACAGCCTGAGAAGGAGCTGTTTATTTAATTTATAAAAAAGAAAGTCAGATGGGAATTTGAAAAGGAATCAAATAAGACAAAGCTGAGGATTGTGATACAATGATGCTTATATCAATCATTTTATTACTTTGAGGATAGAAAAATGATTCTGTTTGATTTTTCTATTCGGGATAAAAAATTAGTACACCATGTGTAAAAATTACAGAAATGCCACCAAAAATTACTTTGCAGGCACAATTCAATGAGAACAAGACTACAAAATGTTTGTGCCTCCTTAAGCTTTGCAGACGGAATTCATTAAGAAAAAAATTACAAATACTAACACCGTGTTCTGGCCTCATTAGAACTTTGGGGGATTGGGGGGGAGTGAATTCCCACAAGGGATGCAAGAGTCTTCCCCTGCATTTTTTAAAAGATAGTAAAGGTGCAACTGGAATAATCAGCATTGGTTTAAAGATACAAAATTCAATTTGCATGATACAAAGCTATATAAGAGTGAGAATATACTTTTGTATCTAAAATGTAGCACACTGTACAGTGGTGTTTGAAGACAATCATACCATTGGTACAGTGGTTTTATGAAATGATCATACATTTTACCTTGCTGAAGTGGACCAAGTGATTTCTTCTTTTTTCTAAGCACTTTCTCCAATGTGCAGGCATCCTTTCAAAATACAAAATTCAAAATGTCAAAATCAAAATAACAATGTTAAACCTCACTGTCAACCTGTCATGAACCAATAGCCCAGAAGTTAATAAACTTGTTTGTCTACTTGTTTCTGTTGTTTTTTTTAGTTTTTTTTTTTAAGCCAAATTTTTTTACATGCAGTTTACGTATCAACATAAGGATCCATAATTTCAGTCTGGAGGTCCTAGAATCTGGGACTTGAAAATTGTAATTCCCATCTCCAAGCCCTTTGATTTCCAGTACTGGCTCTGCCACGTCAAAGAGATAAAGGGATCTGGAAAAAGGAATGGCAGAAGCCTTCCTTGTTGATTTCTTTTCAATTTCACACCTGCAGGTAGTTTTCATAGTTAAACCTGTTGAACTCTTCAGTAGTAAAGGAGAAATGTTTATGCCATTACAATGTTATCTGCGGAGTAATTTAAGAGCACTGTTGGGATTTTCTGGAAAGATTTCCATATAACCCCATACATTAATTATGCATTCCATTTCATCAAGACTAAATGTAAAGCTTTCTTTGCAACACTCTATGCATAATTAATGTATGGGGTTCTATGGAAATCTTGCCAGTTATTTTTTCCAGAAAGAAAAATGATAAATAATACATGATAAACCGATAATACTTCATCGCTTTAGCATCTCCACTCCAGAGATTTTATAAGCATTTGATCATATTTTAATGTTAATCTACCTGCTATAAGTCATAAAATTAGCATTATAAAATTTTAAAACTTTGAAAAATAATGCTATGTCCATTGAAAGACAGTTGTCTACCTGATACACTTGGGAATCCTCCTCATTGTAATAACGTGCATTGTCAAACATAACTTCAAAGTCAAGCATAAGTTCTTCCTCCCCAGAATACTAGAGAAACATAGTTAACATATAAAATAATTACTGGCATCACCAATTTTGAAAATGATCATACCAACCAAGTCAGTTTCTGGTTAAATAACCAGCATACATTAGGAAATTAATCATTGGTGGGAATGTATACGTGCCTACAGATGTAAAGTTTTATAGTGGCATTTCAGACCACCATTCACATATGAAAGAAACAAAGCAGGAAATGTATAACTGCAATGCCAATAGTTACTGGTCTACATTTTTGTGAGAACTCATTCTATCTATAGCCTTCTTCCATTCATTTGTTGGGAAAAATTCAAGGATGTTGGTAAGTATGTTTATCAGACTCAGTTTCAAGGTAAATGTAGATCTCAACAAGAGCACCATGAACAACTCCATACTTACTTTGCTGTCCCTGATGTTGTTCTCAATCTGGCTCAAGCACACTGGTTCAGATATGACTTGATAGTAATCTGGATAATCCTGGTAATTCAGAAAGTATTAGTTGTGTTAGACTAACAAAGCCTGCTTTGAGTGTTAGATATAAAGTGAAAATGGATGCCATAGAATCACAACAGTTAAAAAATGTATCTTCAGTTGCTAATGTCAAACCTGTGCAGAGGGAAGTTCCACAAATATTGCTGATAGGTATCTTCCATTCTCATCCTGAAAGGAAATCCAAAGGGATATACACATATTTACAAACTCAAATTATTGTTGCTACAGCAAGTAAGCCTAGAGCTGGCAAGCCAGACATAATCAACTAAATAGGACAAATTTTTATTCTTCATTACCCACACATTGATCACAATGATAGCAAAAAAAACCCTCTTTTCCAAATTCACTGAAATTAAGCACAATCCACCAAGAGAAATTCAACTGAGTTCAAATCAAATTACCAGTACTTGTTCACATGCTCCCCATGTTGGTACCATCAATCATTCAAACCTTCACTCTGACTCTCACCTGGTAATTCAAGACAGCCTTGTATAGCTGACGCATTCTTTTCCTTAACAAAATAGGGTCAACCTCCTCAACACGTTTGGTTTTCTTAGGTTTTCTTATCTCTGTCTTTGGTTTTCTCTCAATCATGGCTTCACTGGTGACCTCTTTTCCAGTTGTTACTGTTGTTGTAGTTGTTGTTGTTGTTGTTGTTGCTAACTCAGGTTCCACTTTCTTGGACTTCTTCTTTTTCTGGACATAGAAAAAACGTTTTAAGTTAAAAACACCTGTGGTTGATTCTGGCATTATTTTTAATTTACCATTTTAAATCAAGCAAGAAGTGGTAAAACGAGAAAAGAAAAGAAGGAAATGAAAGGTATGAAAAACGGATAACATTCATAATGGAAGCATCTTACACACTTGACATGCTGGAGAACACTAAAAGAACCTTGTAATGAGGTTTTCCCGTGTGTTCTTAACATTCTACCTGGGTTAGCATGCTGGAGAACACTAAAAGAACCTTGTAATGAGGTTTTCCCGTGTGTTCTTAACATTCTACCTGGGTTACGAATGCTGTTAATGATGACTGGAGACCCATGGCTAATGCTAAAACACAAACTACAATAAATTAAAACTGCCTTTGCAAGTTAATAAAGTTACAGTAAATTTTAAATCGGGTAGGTGCCCATGCTTTCATCAATTGGGGTTCATAATTTACTCGATGAAAAGTTTCTTTCTTACTTTGATCTTTTCTAGGGATTGATTTCTTTGATTAAATACTCTGCAACATTTTCAGCTGCAGTTTTAAAGGAGCAAAAGTAGTACGCATGAAATTTAGCAGTGTCCTAACCAATAAGGAATTACCAGTAGTTTCTAAATGTATGCAGTGTATTTGATTGTCTTAGTTTGGTTCTGTAGAACTTTAATAAATGATATTGAGGCCATGTAAGAAGAGAGTTACTTCCAAAATGTTTTAAAAAGCAAAATAGCAAATGAAACATTGTGATATCATAACTCTTAAGTAATATACATGTACCTTGTAATCTTCTAAACTGATTCCCCTCTCTTCCATATATTTCAAAATTTCAACCTTCTTCTTTTTCATGTGTTCTTGCATCCTTTGAGCATCCTATTACAAGAGTATTTGATTGGTTTTGGACTCTGACTTAAACATGGACATAGCTCCTCATTTACAACTTGGTTTGGAATCAAACTCTGTCCTGGAAATGCTTGAATTAATAAGTCAGACTGAGATCCACCCCATATGAAACTGTAAAAATAAATATCTCCACTGACTGGTTACTTGAAGTCAGTTAGCAAACTGCCTTAATTTTGGAACTTCAGCGTTGAGCCATACTTTGTTAAACACACTCTACACTCTAAAAAGTTCACAGTTTATTTTCTGAACAATATGAACAACTTCACTTTTTGAACAATATTGCATTTTCAAAGAACAAGAAAATGGTAAATATCAAAATATAATAGAGGACATTTTGAACAAATTATGAATTTCCAATTAATCACTAAAACAATAATCACATTCTCTTTGCCAACAGATAATAATGTTCAAGGCCCTTCTGCATTTGGTTAAATAACAAGGGTACATAAATTTGGAGGAATGAAATCCCATTATAATAACCTGAGCATTAAGTTTAATGGTGTTTACACAAGCATGTTATTTCCATAAGAACAAAAACATGTACCTTATAAAGCATTGAGTTGGGCTCATTGTATGTTTGTGCATTCAGAAAACACAAGTCCATGTCTTTTTCCAGCTCCTCAATATTTTCATATTGACCAGTCTACAAAGGAATTAACCAAAGACAAGTTAGTCACTCATAACAGAATCTACATGTTCAGATGAACAATGTGGTCATTTATTCTATTCACCTCAGAAAAAGTTTACGACCAAATAGACTTTTCTTTTAACTCACCTTTATTTGAGATCGGATTTTTGACAAAGCAATAGGCTGCTTGATTACTTCATAATAATCAGGGTAAGCTCTGTGGTGAATGAAAAAGTTAGGATATGAAATTGTTTCAACTTGTTAATAAAAGTGACATGAACTTTTAAACCTGTTACATGTAAATCACAATTACAAAAAGGGATCAAAGAAGCACAAACCTCCTTGATGGCAGCCTGAGGAAAGGCTCTGAGAGAGCACGGCCAGTTGGGTCAGTGAAACGCTAAACCTCAGAAAAAAGCATCATGAGCGGGTTGTCTGAGTCTTGATCTCCACTACCATCTTCATCACCTGACAAAAGGAAAAATAGCATTTACATATATCCCAAACTACAAAGTCTGCACTGCTGACAAAAGAATACTGAATTGTGTTCATCACCTCAAATTAATTTTTTAACAATAATCTACAGTGTAAAATTTCTTCATTCTCAGAGTGTAGGTCCTGAGTTTATCAAAATTGAAGTTAAGGACAGCTTACTGTAGATGAATTTTCGTCCATAGTGAGTGATGTTAACTAACCGTGTAAACTATCTTCTGTATGGTGTTCTTCCTCCTCAGGCAGTTCAGGCCTTTCTTCCACACTATCTCCTGTCTCCTCAAGGAATGCTGCCACTGAAGTGTTCATCTTACCAGTGCTCCTGCGTGCTCTTATAATTGAAATAGAATCAGTAAGATCCGTATTATGTTACAATCACCTCTAATTCAACAACATCAAAGATCGTGGGAAACCAAAGATCTTTCATGGATACATGAGCCAGTAATGCTTCACTTCTTATTCAGACACTTCTCGCGAGGAGCAGGGTTTGACACTAACTTTTCAACTTACTAGCCAAGTGGCTGGTGACAACTTAGATGTTACGACAATTTCAGTTTGTTTACTAGCTAAACTGGCTGGTGGAAATCGAAATCCACCGGCCAAAACTGAATTTCTACTAGTCTGTGGCTAGTTCGCTTCGGGTAGTGACGAGCCCTGGAGGAGGCTTTAAAACTATTTCTCTCCAGGGTAATTCCCTAGCCCTAATTCTCCTGGTATTTTATTAGTGCCCATTAAAAATTCATCAAAATTCAGATATGATTATTGAACTCAATCATTTTTGCCAACAAAATGACAGGTAACAATGATTGACACAAAACTAATTATAACTTATTGTTGTTGTTATTATGATGATGATGATGATTATTATTATTATTATTATTATTATTATCATTATTATCAACAAGAGATTACTTCAATCTTTTGCTTGACTTGGCACCCATCAGTGTGTGATCAATTTCTGCCTTCTTTGTCTGTATTGCTTTCTTGATAGCAGTGGCATCCTGCATCAAAACAGATTGGCCTTTTAAACTTTGAATATGAAAATGCATGCAATAAAGATATGACCAATTTGCAAGCTTTCATAAGAACAGAAATAAGTAATTTTTTCTAATGAATTATGAGTTCCTTGTAAAAATATGAAAGCTATGGAAAGTCAAATAAGTAGAATCCTGACGAACACCACCACTTACAAACACCATTTAACAAAATTCAATGTTGGAGGCACTTTAAATTGGAGTTTATGAAAATTGTGTTAGAGTTTGCTTATTGGATGCAGGTAAGATGGTTTTTAGAGACATAATAAAAACTCGCCAATGGTAGTCATAACATAGCCTTAACATTGATCAATTTTTATCAAAAGTAAAATAATCATTTATGATTACTAATATTCTGTGTCTGATATAGCTTTGAAGTTTAGTATTCCCTATTTAATAATTATGTAGCTCATAAAATAACTAACTCAATGTTGGCAAACCTTATATACTTGAGAGCCAGGCTCGTTAAAGGCATGAGCATTCTTGACCATTAACAACAGATCTTTCTCAGCATCCTCAAGGTTCATATATTGGTTATTCTGATGGAACAACAAGGGCTCAAGAATCAAGTTCAAAACTTTAAGTACTCAATCAACAGAGGTGAAGTGAGCGAGCACACACAAGGAAACTTAAAGACACAAATAAACCAAAAGGCTCCCAAAAAGTGCACCCATGACTTCTGTGTTAACAATAATGATACACTGTTTCTAGAGAGAAAAAAAATAACAACTTATTACATTTGTTACAGTTTGATTTCACAATTTTGCATGATCCATCTGATACTTTTTAGTCTCACCAACTGAAGTTTATTTGATTTTAAATCTGTATTTTTTAATCAATTACAATTCCTACAATGTGCCAAGGTTGTCTCCCTTTGAGCAAAATCTTTGAGCCAGGAGTAACATTTTCTGACTGTTTAGGCATGCCCAACCCTGCCAGCAACACACATGCCACAGCCTGTAGTATATAATGCCCTTCTTCATGCATTCTTTCCCATAACAAGTCAAGCACATTTTGCTTCAACACCAGACCACTGAACATAATTATTTTAATCCAAACTCACAAATTTTGAACAAAGCACGAAGAAAATAAATGCAGCCTAAAGAAGTCATATTAACCCTTTACAATCTAACATATCAGTATGCATATTCTCCACACTGTTATCTCTACATTTCCTGAGGTGCTGACAAGGAGAATTATTTTGTATAAAAATAAAGAGCTTCTTGGGTTTTCCATCATTTCCCATATCCTCAGGAACTTAAATTTGATTCATAATTATGGTGATTGAACCAAGTGGAGTGCAATTAGGTTGAGTGTGCAGCACAAGTTTGATTGAAATCACAAGAGTAGTATGATTTCACACAAAAATTGAATGACAAAGTTAATATCCATTTTGAAATCACAAATTCAGGCACTTAGATACAGGATTTTTTAGTCTGTCAAATGTTTTTTTTTTTCCAGCAGTGAGCTGGTTTGTAGAAAGTTGCAAAAGTTGTTTTTCATTTTTCTGCAATTTCATTCATTTGGTTTCTTTAAACAACAAATTGGTTGACATATTTTAATAAATAAATGCTTCCTCAATTGCTGGGAGAAAGATGCAATTAAGACCAAAAATTGTGCCATTTGTGAATAAATTGCACCAATGAGAGCCAATCAGATTACAAAATGGATGTAATTGAGGGTTATACTATTGGGAGAAATATTAGTCTCTGGGTGATAAGGGAGTTAAAGATACTTACTCTCAGTTTAGTGGAGATTGTTTTCAAGTCTATGGGTTCTTTGATGATCTCATAGTATTCTGGATAAAGCTGTTAGGTAGAATTGGGAATATCAGAGATATTATCTAGCAAACAGCTATTACGAATACTCAAAATTATCAGGTACATACTGTGATCATAACTAACACCAAATTCTTGTAACTGATTATCAAGGATATGTGTGCAGCTTAAGGGCAACATTAACAATCAGGTTTTGGACGCTAAAGGGTTAATTTTTCCAACAAAATTAAGACTTCTTCTAGTATGCACCAATGGAATATCATGCATCTTTACTCAGATAATCGATAGATGTTCTGTGTTTCCATTAGAGTTTATTTGATATATTACTTTCAAAATCCTACTTACAAAATCCTACTTACACTTTCAGGTGGTAACTTCTTGAAAAGTTGGCAAATGACTCGTCCCTGGCTATCTTTCATTTCCAACACCGCACTGACAAGTTCCCCACAGTAAGTTAGAACATTAGAGGCAGAATCTGCTTCCTCATCATCTCGTGTGGAGGACGACTCATTATCATCCTCATCTGAAAAAGTCCAAATTGAAAGTCTATTGGTAAACTTAAAAATTTCAGAATCCCGTCTATTTGTGGTTCAAGTGCATCATTTACTGTAGTTGTGAAAAACTGTTGAATGACTCTACAGAAAATGAAAAACTTAAATCTCAGGTCCATGAAAAAACAAAGGTCACCTGAAGAGGTTCACATAAAAATTTTGCAACTAAAAGCTTGTTATCAGTTGGTTCTTCAATTTCCCAACGTTCTATTTCACTTGTTTCATGAAAAAGGATAACTTTATAGAAAATCCTCTTGCTTGTCATCTACATGTTAATACACTGAAAAAAAGGAGCTTCCATCACTGAAGATAAACACATCTGACTCTCACCCTGTCCTGGCTACTGACCTGCTAGGAAACCAGACTGTTTTTTCCCAACTGCAAGTTCTTCATTATAAAACATTTGCTTGCTGTTCTCTGTCTTGTCATCATCCTCACTTTCCTCATCACCATCATCATCCCCTTCATCATCATCGCCATCTCCTTCCTAACAACAATGGAGAGCTTAAGCACAGATCTTCATGAAGTATTCTTTGCAAAAAATTGTTCTCTTGTCCTCTTTTCTGGCAACATTCTTCAAGGCTGTGCTCTAAGGAAAATTGAATGGAGCCCAGTGCTCTGAAACTGTGAAATCCAGGGTGCCCAGCATATGCTTTGTATGAAAAAACTAAAATTTCAGAGTCACCCAAGAGCAAAAGTAAGGCACCAGGGGCCACCAGGAGCTGCTAGAGCACAGCCTTGTTCTTTGAGATTATTATCCTGTGTCCATATCAAAAGAGCTTTTAGTTTCCCAAAACAGAACCAGTGAAGTGCTGAACATTTGCAAAGAAATAAGATATTTGTAGTTATTCAATTGGTTAGAGCACTGGACTGTTGTGCGGGAGGTTGAGGTAGATGGTTCAAGACCCAACCAGACCAACACTCAAGGTCTTAAAGTAACTGAGGAGAATGCTCTACCTTTCTATAATATCAAGAAATGAATAGACATTCTAGTCTTCTCGGATAAGGATGAATAAACCGTAGGTCCTGTCTCCTGCATCTAGTAATTAGTTAATTTGGTTAGGCAGGGGACGTTAAAGAACCCACTCACAGGATTACTGTGATGTGGCCTGGCCTGTTTACTGGGATTTAGGGGGGAGGGGGCATCTTCAAATAAGTTTCCTTTGATTGTTTGTAAACTGCTGATGCAGTCCGGCCAAAGTCCCCCGAAAATTGTTGTGATGTGCATTTGATCATATCCACATGCTAATTTGCGCAATATAAATATTAAATTATTATTATTATTAAATTATTAAAGTGAAAAACTGTACAAAAGTAGACAGCAAGGTTTTTCAAATCAGTTATAGATTGCAAGTACTCACAAACAAAAAAAGTAAATGTGAGCAGGCATACAAAATTGGGCAAGGCTTACAATTTCTCGTATTCTTTGGGTTGGTTACAAATCAATTCTGGCCCCACAATTTCCCCATAAAACTTATGCTATTCAGGGTGTGAGAAAGTATACATGTACATGTACTAAATTATTAACAGCAACTAAAAATCTACATAATCCTGAATAATGTTCCTGACCAGTACTGTTTTTATTTTTAAAGCGCCAACTACATGTAAGACTGACATACCATATCATCATCAAACACTCCTTCTCCTAGCAAAAAGAAACACAAGATTACCATTCATGAGAAATATTCCATGATCTTGCAGAATGTTACATACAGTATCAAAAAGTAACGTTTAAATTGTACTGAGTATAACATAATAAATTTAAAGTCTGTGACAAAAAAATGGAAGACTGGTAAAACAAGAATATCAAAGAGCTTTACAAATTATCCTTCTGTCCATAATAAGTGCATTGTTAACAAGAGTCTTCAAGGGTTCCCATTGCCACACTTAGTCCACAACATACATGTATCAACAGTAAATGAGTGCCCAGGGGATATTTTCAGTCTACTGTAGGAAAGCACTTACCTTTATCCACTTGAGAACAAAGTCTTGTCTTTGCCTCTTCAAAAGCCTCTTTGAGTTTAATAGCATCCTGGTGTTCCTGAACATCAGGCTTATAGAACTTGATGGCATTATCAAATAACAGTTGTATATCGGCACTAAAAGCATCAACATCCTCATATTCATCAGTTTTCAGACGTTGCTAATAAAGAACAAAAAATCAATTACACAGACTCAAAGGTTAACATTTCTTAATGTTCCTTCAAAGACTTCACAGTCACATCTAAAGCTCAGACAAGAATTTGAAGTTATCTTTAGAAACCTAAATTCTACATGTATTCTTGTATAGTCAATTTGCAAGAAAACAGTAAATGGTGAATTGAACCTACTTGCAATATTATCATAATGATTATAACCACTACTTTGACTAAACATGTTTTGGTCTTAGCTTATCCTGAAACTGACTTTTATAAAGTTGAGATTAATTTTTTTTAAAAGAATGGAATGAATGCTGTATGATTAAAAATGCTTTCATGACCTAGAAGTTGTAGGAGAAATTCTTTACCTGTATCTTTAACAAATCAATAGGAGTTGAAACAACTTCAAAGTACTCAGGACTGTTCCTAAAAAGGAACATCAGTGACAATAATAAATATTAATGATAATAACAAATTACGTACAACATCACAAGCTGTAGCTGTGTGTTTGGGTGTATCTCTGATAAGAAATAACAATACCTATCATAACAAAATGTATTCCCATAAAATTTGCACTCGAGATTGTAATAATCCATTAGTACTGGTACATTATCTTTCAACAGAATTATCACTTTTCATTATCATTAAACTAAATTAATTTATAATTTGAATGAAAAAAAAAAATGAACAAACCTCCTCTTTGGTGATCGAATAAAGGATTCACAAAGAATTCTTCCACTATCATCTCTAAAACTCCTGATGACTTCGTATAATTCTACACAAATATCAGCCTGTATCAAGCAGACAGCATTCAACATTAAGAATCCCTGCAGCCCTTAGAGTAAGGAGTAATTTAGCTTTCTGGATTATAAAATTACCTCTACTACTCAAACTCAACCGCCATCAATTCCCTTCCACAGTTCGAGAGAGAGAGAGAGAGAGAGTCTTTCCTATACCACAGACCCAAAATGAAGTTACATAATTATATCATTCCTTTCATTTAGAGAGTTAAAAACAAAAATTCAGAAATGGGCTGAGAATATTCCATATAAATGACTTGACTAGAAGCTTGCATTTCACTAACACCCCTGGCTGAATTCTCAGGCCAGCTTTTTTGTAACTCGTTAAGGCCTTTAGTCTCTTTAAGAAAAGATACATCTATGCACCCCATGGCTATAAACCAGATATTAAACTTTTCAACCGCCAATCAAATAATTACATATGTGTAGAAAAGTGAGAAAATGTCTTTGAATATTAGGGCTGGAGATAACATTCCATCATCACACAGTACCTCACAAAATTTGAACATTTCCAAACATTTTTGCATTATAATCAGATGTGATGTTCACACATTTTGAGATACGATGTCCAACCATTCGTCAAAACAATGACTACTATCACTGGAGTTACTGTCCATTGAAAAATTGTTCAGATAGAGTATCTGAGCTTATAGAGATAGCTTATAAAGCAGAAGTTTGTTTCTTTCCTGCTCTTTCTTAATAGAGTACTCTCTCAATTGCCTTCTCAAACTCCTTGATAATTCACAAGGTGATCATCCAACCAAGACATGTCAATTTTGTCACGTGCATGTGGTTTAAAACCCAGGTGAAACACTGGAATGAGTTTCATACAAAATAAAACCCATGAGTTTCACACAATATCAAACCCATGAGTTTGCTATTTCAAGCATGAAACTCTAGTGAACTCATTTCTTAATTTGTATAACAAAAACAAACTTGCAAACAACATGGGAAAAAATTGTGAATATTTCCATTTTCTTTTATTCCTGAGGCGTGATTGAGAAGCAGTTTCAAAAACTCGTGCATCGGGTTTCATGAGGGTTTCCAAACACTCAAAAACAATGACAACACTTGGCCTGTGGCCTCATGCTTTCATCAGTTTTCTTGTATTTGGAAACCCTGAGGAAACCCTCACACTTGTTTTTGAAGTAGTACTTCCAAAATTCCCCCAAACAAATTACACATGTCGCATACATCATGGTACCCTATTACCCCTTAAGCATTATAATCAACACTACGTTGTCTCTGGTATGTAACCCATTTACAGATTTTTGTTGGTTTTATAATGCCATAAAACCAGCTTGGATATTGGAAAAACACTCAGAGAGCTTGTCAATCAGTTTCCTTATGGCTCGTAATTTACCAACTTTTCTCATGTCCTCCTAACATGGAGGTTAAAAATCTCGGGATAATGTGTTACATTTTTAATAAGAAGTCAATCGTTCTTGCCCAGGTTCCACTCGGTTCTATGGAGAACAGACCACAAATTTGGTAATTAATTTCTTTCATTATTCTAAAATTTCTGTTACGATGTTTGAAATCATGTTCTGCTCGTTCAATTTCAAATGTGCTGTCTTAAAGAGGTTAAAGAAAAGTAATAAAATGATACAGTTTTCTCATTTAAAACAGAAATGGAAACAGCTGTATTTTAGTGGCGACGACTCCGTGTGACCTGACAAACCTTCCTTAAACTAATTAAAGTATGGAGATTAAAACAAGAACACTTACTGGGTCAGTATTTGGCGACGTGGATCGCTTTCGCCGTTTCTTTCCGCGGCCTTCCGATCCCTCAGATACACTACCTTGAATCTGAAGGCCTGACCCGGAGGCACGACCACCGGTACCGACTCGTTTACGCTTGGTCATTCTCTAGAAGCGCTATACAGAGCTCCTCGTTACTATCGCATACAGTGATTCCTACAATTCTCACTTCTTCTCCCTCCACAACTTGCTTTGCTTTAAAAACACGCTGCGGTTTTGTAACTAGTTTTGAAAGCTTGAAATAATAACTTGAGTGTGCAAGGTGTCAGCAGATTTCCGTAAGATTATCATTTTGTTCATGTACACTACAGGATGTTTAGTTTTCTAACAACCCACACGTTCTGAATGTTCAACTAGTGAGTTTAGATAATAAGAACAATATTAATGAAAACAAAAAAAATAATTATAAAAATAAAAATAACGATAAAAATAATAAAAAATAATAATAACGGTTTATTAGCAATCCCTAGAATACATTGCTCTCTTTGCTGCCATTTAGATAAGAATATCACAAGGTTGTGACATCACATTTTTGACACAATACTCACAAAGTTTAACATTTCAAGCTCAAACGAGGAAAACAATTTTCCAAATTTTTAATTGGGGTTTAACTATCTCTTCCCTCCTCAAAGAAGAACCTTAGCCCTTTTCCTGCGTCGGATGATGGTGAACTGGAAGAGGGAGCTCAGGTAAGGACGACAAAATATGTGGTCATGTTAAAACGCAGACTACAGGCTGCAGACGATGCAGACTGTGCAGACTGTTGCAGTCGGGTGACGCTATATCGAAGGACAGAGCTGAATAATGAAATGCTACGTCAGAGGGTATGCGGTCAACAACGCGGGCTCAAAAGTCCTTGGGCTAAAATTTAGCGGAAAATAATAAGGATGACTTTTAAAACCAAGGAACTCTGTTTTCGTC